CTCCACAAATTTCACACTGCAAGAACATGACTTGGATTCTGGTTTAGATAATATATCAAATGGTAACTCTGACCATGGCGTAGATAATGTTGATTATTATATGGTGGATAACTGTCACATCACTGTGAAGAGGGGCCGACAAGGACAAAAGAGTCGCCACCGTTCGTTATTTATCCCAAAGAGAGGGAAAGGAAACGATCATAGAAAACCTACGAAAAAGGGAAAAGACAGGTCTTCGCAACCAAATCTTGGGTTCGGGAGTCGGTTACGCAAAGGGAAGATATCAGCACCCCTCACGTCCATTGTACTCAACGGGATCCACGCTTGTTGTCTATCTAAAAGGGTGTTAATCTATAAGGCTGGCCGCAGGGACAAAAGAAAAGAAAAGAGACTTGATAGAGCGTCGCCTCTCTATGCCTACGTACTCCCTCGTGAAATGGGAAAGTCAGAGTCAACGTAGTTCAGAAAACTACGGGTGAAGGTGGGGAAGGTTGCTCGCCAAGGCATCACCGTCTTGTGCCTACGTATCCTTGTCTGATACGAGAATTCAGAGTACACGTAGTTCGGGTTGACACGACCACAGGTTGGTTCAAGCGTTTTAACTGAGTAGGGTTAAACCTTCGTTCTAGCAGTTAGGTGTATTGTTGCTAGACCATTGGAGACTTAGGCGTTACCTGTTTGCGGTAGAACCAAGATTTAACACACTCTTTATGAAAATGGTTTTCAATTAATCCCGAAGGATAAAAAGGTTTGATGTTTTGTTTTGTGTTTTTTATAAAGAAGAAGTGAATTGAGTTAAGTTTGTAACTCATGTTGCACTAAAGACTATGACTTGAGAGCGAATGCGCCGCATATCGCCCAAAGGGCATATGCTAAACACTCTAGACAGTTGAGAGGAAGCCCCCCAACTATCATTTCCCAAGTACTTAAGGCCGGTAGCGTACAACACTTATTATCCTTTATTAGATGTTTTGAAGAAGTTTTGAGATGAGAAGAGAAGACACAACCTCTAAAGGGAAACAAGTTAACCCTAATGTTATCATACAATGTGCTCCTAAGATTGAGATTGAAAAGGGGAGAAGACTATCCTAATGTTATCATGCTTGGATTGAACACTTAATGTCTCTCCTACTTCCACCTTAAACAAATGGGACTAGGAATCCTAAGGGATCATGGCAAAGAAACCAAGTAAAAACATAAGATAAATCAATCACAAATGGGATGAAAGAAAGAGATGAAGTTGACTTAAACAAGTCGAGAAGAAAATGAAAACATGATAAGCAAGATGCAAAAAGATGCAAAGCCAACAAAAGATCAAGGAAAAATGACTTAAACAAGTCAAAGAAAAGGTGAGATGAAATGGGAGAAGTTACAACTCCTACAACCATTCATGCATCAATCACTAAAGCCAAAACAAAAACAACAAAGCCAAAGGGAGAAACCATGATCAAAATGGACATGGGAGAATAGGCTTGGGCAGCAAGAAACATGATATATATCCCAACCAAATACAACACATTGATCATGTAAAAGAAGGGAGCAAACAAGTGCTCAAAGTGATCCCTCATTCAAAGCAAACTCAAAGTATGAACAAAGGATACCAAATTGCTTTAAATTAGTATCAAAAGCCAAAGGGCAGAAGCAAAAGCACAAGAGAAATATGCTAAAACCAAAATGGAAACAAAGCAAAAGCATGCTACAAGTCAAAGCAAGAGAAGGAACCAAAGTTCCAATCACATCAACACTTAAACCAAGTGGAATGCCCTAATTCAAGATGACTTATAACACAAACTACACAAGTGTATGACCTATAAATGAAAAAACAGTACCTTAATCATGTTATGAATGAGTATCAAAGCTCATAAGGTGCTCATGGGATCCATCAAGGTCATTTCCCAATGGAACTAGGTCAACTAGTTTGTATGAACTTCATCTAGGGTGACTTGACTTGCAAGATTCACCAAAAATAGAAGAATAATTCAGTAAATCTCAAATAAAATGCACAAAGTAACTAAACAAGTTGGAAAACAGAGGTCAAATTTTCAAAACCAAATTCAATTCAAGGCATCACCAAATGATTTGATCAACTAGGGTGCTCCACCTTATTAAATTATAATCCAGGGTCAAACAAAAATAACTCAAAGTCAAACAAAAAAAAGATCAAACATTGACCAAAATCATCCTCAAGAGTGCCTCAATCCCTTACCTAGGTGAGGGAGAGGCCATGGTCATTGGAGATTTGAATTGGGGGTTCAATTGTATGTGATCAACTAAAGACAACATTAAAAACAACTCAACTTGTAAAATTAAAACAAAATTGCAAAATAAAAGAAAATCAGAATTAAAAATCATGGAAAATTACATAAGGTTTCGAAATGTTTGGAAACAATTTTTATTTAATTTTTGGACAATTTGAGGTATTTTTAATAATTGAAAATCAAAACAGAAAACAAAATAAAATAAAAAACAAATGAAAGTGGAAGGGGGTGAAATAGCAAAATAGAAAACAAAGGAAAAACAATTGAAAGCGTATTGGGCTCCAAATGGGGGGAGGGGGGGGGGGAGAATTTCAATTCAAGCTCAGTCCACCCAGACTCAGTTCACTCACCAAAACGCCCCATTTTTATTAAACGGACGTGGAGTCAACAAGCCACCTGGACACGGTCAAGCAAATAAGAGGCCAACACGCATGCAATCAACAATTCAAAAGGGATCCACATCAGCTCATCCCTGAAACATAACCAGACGCCGGAGCTAGGGCTCCGGTCGTCTTCTCCGGTGAGCTCACCGGAGCTCAGGTGAAAAACCACCACCACCAACCACAAAAATGGTACCAATAGAAAGGCCTTGCTACAAGGATTCCAAATCCATAGATCAATCATCACAAAAGCTCAAGATCAAGGAGAATCAAAGGCTTAAAGATTGAGACGCACATGCTGAAATTCAACCAAACATGAACAACAACTATGCAAACATGGCCTACTCAACGTACGGCTTCAGATGCAACCAATATGAGCCTAAATCATGGTCTAGAATGAGAGAATCATGGATTGGAAACTTACTGAATGGAGCAACTCCGTTGGTTCTTTTCAGGCGTGCAAGCTTGCTTCTCTTGCTTCAGTCCACTCCAAATGTTCCCAGGAAGAAGAATTGAGCTTTAATTGAAGTTGAATTGCAGAGAAAATGGAAATTCGAATTTGAAAAACAAGCTTGAAAAGTTTGAATCTGATTCTGCTCTCTCCAGCTCCAAATGCGTATTCTGAACTTCTAGGGCCAGCTTAGAGTTTATATATGATGAATTTGAATTGGTTTTTAAGGCCCATGAAGCCTCAATTTGGAGATTTGAAAATTTGCCCAAAAAAGTAAGTTGCTCGTGCACACGTGATTTGATTTGCTTCACTCATGAAAATCACCCTAATCTGCAACATGTAGGATCAATTTTACAATGGAATTGGTTTGGGCTTTTCATTTGGTCCATATTGTGAGACTTGAATGAAAACTTTTTGATGAATAAACTTGAAATTGGCTATGTTTCCACGCATTTGGTACCCATTCAAATGTGGTAATCTTCTCATGATCTTTCCTTGGTATGAATTGAATCAAAATGAGTGAAAATTAAGACCTATAACAAGCCAAATTCAAACCATGCTTAAAAGTCCATATTACACTTGAAAATCTCCCCACATGTCCATATAAATCCATGATTCAAATGATCCTTGAGTTCTATAATGTAAATGAGGTCTTTAGGAGCAAATTCCATGTTCGTTGAAAGTTCATTTGGTATACACAAGTGCATGAAAATGACCATTGTACCAAATGACCTATAATGAAACTTTCCCAAAATACCCTTGCCTTGCCAAGACCATAACTTGAGTTCTACAAATGATATCAAGGACTTCTAGGATTTTTTTTGGAAATCTAAGATCATGAGGAACAACTTTCATGTTCACTTGAAGCTGAGGAGAAACATGATCCTAGGTCAAAAGTGCCTTGGTAGTGAGTTGACTTTTAGTTAACCAAAAAATAAGTTCATCTGAGACCTCTAACTTGTTGGCATCATAACTTGAGTTCTACACACTCAATGGATGAGTTCTAGTACTCAAAAGAAAGCTAAGAATAATCCCTACAAGTTTCATGTTTGCATGAAAATAAGATTGAACTTGTATCATATGGTAAAGTGCCCTTGAAGTTAGGCACTAAAGAAGGGGATTTTACACCGAGATCCTCTAAAACCCTAATTTAGTAACTTCTTGAACTCTTGATTCTTCTTGATTTGAACTTGGAATGACCTCTTAAATGTCTCAAGATAACTTCCCATAGCCTCAATGACTTAAAACCAAGTCTTGAACTCTCACAAGTCCACAGTTGACCTTGAGTTGACCAGATGAAACCCTAGATTCACATCCTTTGCATGTGACCTCTTGCAGATGAAATGAACGCCTAGACAAAATCAACAAGGACTTTCAAAGCAATCAATGAGCTTCTCAAACAAATTATATCCACAACAATGATCTTATGAACCCTTGATAATCCTCTGTTGATCCCCAAAATTGGAGACAAACAACACATATCAATCCTTCCCTTCAAGGAGCTTTGACAACCTCATGGCGATGATAAACATTTGCTGATCTGAATAAACACTCTTGCTTGAGCTTGAAACCCCTGAGACTCTTCTCTTGAATGGTACACCTCTCTTGATCCCCTGTTAAGAACAATGCTATGCAAATGCAAATGCTAAAATGAAATGAAACATAAGCCAAGAAAAGGTTGGTCAAATTTTGGGGTACACAAATAACCACCTTTAAGGTTAGTCATATTTAAATATATTTCTATATCATTTTTTGTCATCAATATATCAAAGTAAATGGTTTTTCAACATTGCATTGTTATGTGTTCCCTTAATATCTGTAACATATATTATTACAACAAAATTCTTAGATATTGGTGATCCGATTTGGGAGTGTCAATATTGTTTTGCTTGCATGTAGTATGGTGAACGAATGACTAAATCAAAGAATACAACATCCCCTAAATTTAAATGGTGTTGTCATGGAGGAAAGGTTAAACTACCAATGATTGATGACCCCCCACTAATACTTCAAAATCTCTTATTTGATAGTACAACAGTTGATGGTAAGAATTATCAACTAAACACAAGGACCTATAATACAATGTTCTCCCTTGCTTCACCTAGTATGAAATTTGATAGCAAGTTCACCAAGGGATGTGGTCCTCCAACCTTAAGACTTCATGGACAGGCTTGCCATAGAATCAAGACGATGCTGCCAGAGATAGGTCAACCACCAAAATATGCACAGTTGTATATTTTCGACACCGACGATGAAATTGATAACCGCATGGAATGTTTTAGGTGAATATTGTAACTACAACTTTTATACATCATTTGTTTTTTCATTTGTACTTGAATACTTCTTATTAATATTTATCTTCAAGAGATAACAACATATTGACAGGAGAATAGTAACAAATATGAGGTTAATGTTGGATCATAATAATGTTCATGCTAAAACTTTTGAATGGAACATGATATGTTGAACCATCAAAACGCCAAAGATTTAAAGATGATACTCACATATAACCATCAAACGGATAGTAGAGTTTATAACAAGCCAAAAGTTTCAGAAGTCGTTGCCCATATTGTTGGTGATATTGACTCTGGTACCAAGCGAGATATCATCATTCTAGAGCGTGGTGGCAATTTGCAAAGAATTGATGAGTTTCATCTTAGCTACCTTGATTTTCAATATCCTTTTCTATTCCCATATGAGGAAGATGGATACATAGATAATATTCTACATGTTTACCAAGGTGAAGTTGAGGTCAGTAAAAGAAACCGACAAACAATCATGGAATGGATTTCATTTCGATTGCAACAAAGAAAATGTGAGGAAAAAACTATCCTTTTGTCATGGAGATTGTTTAATCAATTTTTGGTTGATGGCTACACTATGATGGAAATAGAGAGGCTTAACTAGATCAGAAAAAATCAATCCAAGTTAAGAGTTTCTAAATAGGAAAAACTTAAATAAAATGAAAGCAACTCAAGTCAAAATTCAAATTCAAAGAATGGATAAAGAGTGGTCTTGCCTTCAACATTTGTCTAAAGCAAAAGATATATGGATCAACTCTATTTTAATGGTATGGCGATTTCAAGTTCAGTTGGGTTCCCTGATTTGTTTATAAATTTCACAAGTAATCTTAATTGGCCTGGAATCACAAGAGATTTAGCAAAGGAAAATTTAAAACCTTCATGATCGTCTAGATATTATCTAAAGAGTCTTCAAGATAAAATTTGATGAATTAATGGTTGATATCACACGCAGACATATTCTTGGAAAGGTGTTGGCATGTGAGTGTTTTTATAAAGCATAGTTATTATAACCTTAGTTTTTTCATACCATGTTTCATTATTATATATAAACTTATACTTTCTATACATATCATGACAGTTATATATACAATTAAATTTTAAAAGAGAGGTTTGTCACATGCCCATATTCTGATTTTCATTCACCCTCAGAATTAGTATCTGAACCATTTAGATATTGATAAAATCATCTCTTGTGAAATTCAAAACCCCGAGTTACATCCACGACTTTACAATTTGGTCAATAAACATATGATTCATGGCCCATGTGGGTTGTCACAATTAACATCACCATGCATGAAAAATAGAAAATGCTTACAATTTTATCCAAAAAAGTTCAATGAAACAACCATTGTTGATCAAGATGGGTTTCCTCAGTATAGAAGAAGGTCAAATACATACACAATTGTCAAGAATGGAGTTTCTCTTGAAACCGACATGTCGTGCCTTACAACATAAGGTTATTATTGATGTTCCAGGCTCATATAAGTATGGAATGGTGCAACCAATGTTCTTCAATGATGTACTTATTCCAATATATGCATAAGGGTTATGATAGAATCACAACATTAAATTTTCAAACCAATGGAGGAAATTCAAGTTTCGGAGACGGTATAGATGAAATTCAACAATATCTTGATTGTCGTTATGTATCACTGACTGAGGCATGTTGGAGAATATTTTCATTTAACATTCATGCCAAAAAATCTATTGTGGAACGTATGTTTTACCATTTGATTGGAGAGAAGCTTATTTTACCAGTCCTTCTAGAAATGAAAAGGGTGTTTTCTTGACATTAAATATGCATTTACCTTTATAGGTCTGTTGTGGAAGGATTTTGGGTTCTTTTGCAAAAGTTTAATACTTATATTGGGAAATAGGGTTTATGGAAATAACCATCATTCTTGGTGGTGCACTTGACAACCTTTACATGGTGTGCATTGAATTCCTTTTACATTTTTTGGTTGAGAGAATGTCTTGTGTGGCTATGCATATTTATATTTAAGAAAAAATATAATATGTATCGGTATCAAGTATCTCCAGTTTTGTACTATTTAAGAAATGAATTCATTTTTTTAAAACTTTTTTTTAGATGTTTCATTTGTTTGTTTTGGGATCTTCCCTCTTTGGGAATATTTTCATAGTACTCAATCTCTTTGAGAATAACACTTTTATGTGGGTTAACACCTTTTCAAGAAAATATGACATTTAAATGATCAGAGTCGCAACCTCCTATTTGGGAAGAATTTTGAAATGCTAGATCCTTATGTTAGAAGGAGGTTGACGTTGATCAAATTTTTTTTTAATCAAGAGCTAGATGTGTATACGATCACACTTCATTTTATCTCGGATTACACAAATTACTTTACAAGATTGAGTACTTTTTATATCTCATACACAATATATTATAACTCTGAGAAAGGAACTTCAACTATACTTAAATTCTCGAGGGAAGCTATGAAAGATTTTTACATCGAGTATAAAATGGGCATATTTTTCTATAAGTAAGAGAATGTATTCAAACGAAGGACAAAGGATCCTCAACCCAAAATACAAGAAGCATCCTTATAGACAAAGAAAAATAAAAGCCTCAGGAAACTACACATGTCCCTAGCATAGAACACTAACTAGACCAACCACACTTCTTACTAACTAAGTTAATGGCAACAAACCATTCCCAAGTCAAAAATTTAATCATCCTTAGCAAATAAAAGTTTATCAAGATACTCCCTACAAATGAAATACTATTCCTATAAGACCATAGAGTCCAACAAACAGCTAAACCAAAGAACTAACGAAGGTTAAAATGGAACTTGTTGAAAAAATTGAACATGCTACTCGAGAAGAGGTAAGGAAGGGATCCTACATGATCTTGCAAATTAACCTCCAGCCAACGACACACTTATTTCCAAACATGCTTACTAACAAAGCTGCCGAAAAATAAGTGATTCAGACCCGCCTTGCTAACAAAGAAAATCAGGAAAATTGTACTAAAATCACCACTATGGGATCCTTCAAGATAAACCTTCCACCTGAGTCGAGAACTCTCATCATCTTATCTTCAATCGACACTTTGTAATTCTTTTCGATCTACTTCCCTATGTTGAGGAAATTAATTACTCTTCATGCCTGATATGTTTAATACATTGAAAATTATTGACCTTTTTCCATCTCTCCTTATAATCAGAACATCACAAATACCTTCAGATGCTACTGTACTGTCATTTGCAAATTTCGTCACTTCTTCATCGAGGGTTTTATGTTGACAAACCAATCTTTCCTCCCAGACATGTGTGATGAGCATCCTGAGTCCAAGTACCATTGCCCCTTGAAGCATTCTTGATTTCTTGTTGTGACCATCAACAACATCTCTCCTTCTTCATGTTTTTCAAATTTTGCATCATTTTCTTGATTCTTTTGTTTTTCAGGACAATCACTAGAATAGTGGTCATACCTCTGACAATTGAATAATTGAATGTGACTTTTTTCAGGTTTACTTCCACCACATTTTCCTTTGGTAATAGCACCACCTTTGTGATAACTTTAGTATGAGGATCTTCTCTAGTTCAAAACATTTCCTTCTTGGTGGTTTCTTCTACCAATTGAATTGTTGTAGCCTCCTCTACTTTTGTTGTTGAACCACTTCCCTTTTCCATTCTTTTCTCTTGTCGATTGCACCTGCAAAGCTACATCGTTCTTCGACTTTCTTGTAGCTCTTTCAGCCATTCTTTTTTCATGAGATTCAAGCATTCCTTGAAGCTATTTCTTTGGCAGTGTTATCAAAACTTTTGACTATGCCATGGCTACACCCTGAAGTTAAACTTTGGAGACAGTGACCTCATGATGTTTGCGACTATTAATCTTGATATCAACGATTTTCCACATATCTTGATTTGATTCACTAGTTTCGTAACCCTAGTGAAGAAATTAGTTATGCTTTCACTTTTTTCCATCTGAAGCAATTCATACGTTCTTTTGTAAGTTTGTAACCTCAGTTATCGTAATTCTGCTTCTTCAGAATTAGGATACCCGCTAGAAAATGACCATTTGAAAGATTCAGTGCATTATGCTTCCCAAATTACACGGCCAGTGCTCTAGATACTAGATTTTAGAATTATACAAAATCTATGGAGAATTTTGAATCAATCTAGATGAAGAAGAATCAATTATTTCGATTGATTTTGTCTCTTGTTCTTCAAATCTTCACTCAAGTGAATCAACCAACCTTGATTGCAACATGATTCTGCTACACAATAGATAATGAAAGAAGAAAAGAAAAGATGAATTGGGGAAGAAAAAACAAATTAGGATTTTGGAAAAAAGGGGAAAAAAAGAGAATATTTATGCAGAGTTTCTCTCTTTCTTCAAACTGAAGTTTATTCAATCTTTTTTTCTATGCAATTGTTTTTTTTATAATGATAGGGTACCTCCCTATTTATAGGCTGAGATTCCTTGCATACCATACAATCTCCAAACAACCTAGAAAACTTAGTTAAAACCAACAAATAAAGCTATCACTACGCCAGAAATGACATTTAGCAGCGCATACAAAGACAGCGCTTTTAGAAAAAGCGCTGCTAAAGAGGAATAAAAAAAAAAGAAAAAAATTGATAACCAAAGACAGCGCTTTCTCAGAAAGCGCTGCTAAATGGGGGTCCTAAGACATCGCTTATAAAAAGTGCTGCTAAAAGGGGGGGTCTAAGACAGCGCTTTTTAAAAAGCGCTGCTAAAGGGGGGTCCTAAGGCAGCGCTTCCAAAAAGCGCTGCCAAATGGGGGGTCTAAGACAGCCCAAAGACAACGCTTTTTAAAAAGCGCTGCTAAAGAGGGGGGTCCTAAGGCAGCGCTTCCAAAAAGCGCTGCCAAATGGGGGGTCTAAGACAACCCAAAGACAACGCTTTTTAAAAAGCGCTGCTAAAGGGGGCCCCTAAGGCAGCGCTTTTTCCATAAAGCGCTGTTATATGGGTTACATTAGAAGGTCTTTGAGAGCGCTTTTTAAAGCGCTGCTAAAGCTATTAAAAAGCGCTGCTATAGGTTTATTAGAATTAATTTAAAATACCCACCAGAATTTTTATGAGAAACAGAACAGTCATAT